GAGTGGAAGAGCCAGAGGTTAAAGATGGATGATGAGATATGCAGATGTCACATTTTTTATCCCTCCTATGAATGATTCCCATGGCATGATGGCAATACCAGTACAAGTCAATAATCCTGAATGCATATATGAAGCAGAAGCTCAGATAAAAATATGATGCATTGTTCTGGAATAGCATTGCTGTTTGTTTTGTGTGTTTCCCATCTGCTCCAATGGCAGAGCCTGGCTCACAGCTACATAGACCAGTGCCTGAGATTCCAACTAAATAGGCAAATCATCCAACATGAAACACAATTTATAGTGGGAAATTCAGATACTCTATAGTGTGAGAGGTTCCACTCTCTTCATTTCTTGTCTTCCTGGGCCTGTCTTATATTGTGACAGGGGGACAACCCAATTATGGATAGGCCTGTCCATTTGTGGTGAGCTATCTATGATATGACAGATTGGCCCATCTTATGCAGTGCCAAGGGTTTGTAATCCTGCAATGGACAGACTGGCCCACCTTATGTTGTAACACTGGTTTTTGTTTTCCCTTATCTGCTGCCTGAGAATACCATGGATGGGCCTGTCCTTATGTAGATCCCTTTGATCTCCCTTTCTGCTGCCTGAGAATGCCTTACATGGACCGTCCTTATGTAGATAGCTTGGATCTCCCTTTCTGCTGCCTAAGAATACCATACACAAACTTGTCCTTATGTTGCAAGCAGGGGTGCATCTTGCTAGATTGGCCTGTCCATTTGTTGTGATGATATACATGATACTACTGAAGGACCTGTCCTTATGTTGTGACACTATTAGATGATATTACTGATGGGCCCATCCATATGTTGTGATGCTATACATGAGATTACTGATGGGCCTGTCTTTATGTTTTGTCAGAGGCACATCTCACTGTGGACAGGCCTGTCCATATGCTGTGACAATATAAATAATATACTGAAGGGCCCATCCATATGTTGTGACTCTATTAAATGATATTAGTGATGGGCCCTGTCTTTATGTTTCAACAGAGTACATCTTACTGGGGCCAGGCCTGCCCATATGTTGTGATGCTATACATGAGATTACTGACAGGCCTGTCTTTATGTTGTGACAATCTAAATAATCTTACTGAAGGGCCTGTCCATATGTTGTGACTCTATTAAATGATATTAGTGACAGGCCCATCTTTATGTCTTGACAGGGTACATCTTACTGGGGCCAGGCCCACCCATATGTTGTGATGATATAAATAATACTACTGAAGGGCCTGTCCATATGTTGCAACTCTATTAAATGATATTAGTGATGGGCCTGTCTTTATGTTTCAACAGGGTACATCTTACTGGGGCCAGGCCTGCCCATATGTTGTGATGATATAAATAATACTACTGAAGGGCCCATCTATATGTTGTGACTCTATTAAATGATATTAGTGATGGGCCTGTCTTTATGTTTCAACAGGGTACATCTTACTGGGGCTGGGCCCACCCATATGTTGCAATGATATAAATAATACTACTGAAGGGTCCACCCATATGTTGTGATGCTATACATGAGATTACTGATGGGCCTGTCTTTATGTCTTGTCAGAGGTACATCTTACTGTGGACACACCCATCCATATGTTGCATAATACTGCTGATGGGCCTGACCTTATGTTGCAACTCTATTAAATGATACTAGTGATGGGCCTGTCTTTATGTTTCAACAGCAGTACATCTTACTGTCAACAGGCCTGTCTATATGTTGTGACATTATGAAATGACATTACTGACAGGCCCATCTTTATGTTGTGACAGGGGTACAGCTTATTATGAACAGGCCTGTCTAGATGTTGCAACACCATAAATGATATTACTCCCAGGCCCATCCATATGTTGCCAACTTTGTATTCTAATCATAGATGGGCCCATCCTTATGTTGTGACCCTCTCCATGTTATGATAGGTGGGCCTGCCTTGATGTTGCAACAGGGGGGTAAGCTACCAGGATGGGCCTGTCCATATCTTACAGCAACTCAGTATACTTAATTGGTCATGGACCCATCTGAATGTTTCAATATCCTTACCCACCATGGGCCCTCCCATATGTTGTGGTAATGCACTTACAGGCCCATACATATGTTGCTCTCACTTTAGTCCCTTGGGCCTGTCCATGTGTACTGGCTAATCTATTTGGGCAGGCCCATCTTGGGGTCTATATGAGTGTTGGTGTTTTGGCACACAGGCTGCCCATGTGTTGTGACTAAATGTGACTACACTATGTGGTTCATGCACTGACCCTGGACCCAGCAGAAGTGGAGAAAACCACATTGAAGGAACAGCTCATGGCTGTGTTGGTGGGGTTTATTTCAGAGGCACAGTGTATGCCTGACAACTGGGAGGAGCTCTTGGAGGAGAAGATGACATGGCTGCAGCACTGGGAGGAAAAGATGGTGAGTGGACTTGAACATTGCAATGCATTAGTGCAGAACTGATTGCATGAGGGTAGGTGGTCCTGATGCCACTGGCTGAGTGAGGCAAGCAGCTTGGCATCACCATATGTGTTGATGCCACAGATGTGCCTGTGTTGGCTGAGGCTGTCATGACCATGCATTTGTCCTAAGTCCCCACTCACTCTGCACCCTTCTCTGCCAAGTCATTCACTCACTCTACACCAACTCTGCCTGCCCTCTGTCAGTTACAAACCTTCTCTGCTCTGACTGCTGTCAGACTTGTGCTGGTCTGCCATCAGACCATGCAGACTGTTCTCTGAGGGGTCATGTGACCTCCATTTGGACTTCTCCTTGACAGTGCACAGCAAGGTACTCTGCAGCATGCACACTGCATGGTCCAGCACCTGGATCATTTCACTTGTCCCCTTTGCTAGGGACCATGGCTACATATATCTACCAGGAGTTCCTATCAGCTTCTGTCCCTGAAGCATCCTGGTACATCCCATCCTTGTCCACCCCCTCTCAGCCCATCCAGCTTGGACAGCATGTTCTTTTTGTCAGTATGACCTCTAGGAGGACATTCTTTGGTCACCTCAGGTCAGTCACTTGCTTAGAAAGGTCTTGTGTGGTTGTTTCAGTCTCTCCAGTCCAAGAAGCATATGGATCCTTCCTCCCTGCTCCCTGAAATGTCTTCATACCAGTCTCATCCATCATTCTTCCAAAATTGCAACAGCTACAGTATACTCTACTGTTCTCCACTCTCCCTGATCACATCCATGACAAGTATGATGCCCATCTTGCCTCCTTATTGCAAGATACAGCAGAAGATGCTCCCCCTTCATCCTCTGTTCCAACAGAGCCTCATTTATGAAGTTTTTATTTAATTCACTGAGAGAGTGTGCAGAAACAAGAGACATGTCACACTTTGCTTACTCAGACATGGACTAAATTCTATGTGATGCTTTGTGCCTCTGCTTACATAGAATACTAATATGCTAGAATAGTGCAACATAGGGTAGACCCACCCTCATGCACTTTAATTCAGACATGTAAAAAAAGAACTCCTCTAAAACTGGTCTGGGGAACTCTATCATGGCCAGGGTCATCAAAAAGTTCCAGCTAGATAAAGAAAACCTCAAACTAGGACATCCTCACCAGCTTTCTTCTACTGTACCCCACACAGGCCCACCCATATGTTGCAATCACCCACTCATGGGCCTACTATATGCTGCTGTCACTCTGGGCCCACAGGCCCATTCATGTGTTATGGCTAAACTATTTTGACAGGCACCCCCTGGGCTCTACATGAGTAATGGTGTTTTGGCATGCAGGCTACCCATATGTTATGACCAAATGTGACAACACTACATGATATTGGATCCTGTTTTGTCTACCAAAATTATCACACCAACATGCACAGCAATTGTCCAACTTTCAACAGGAATGTTTCACACACAGATACCCATGATCACTGGAGATGAGAAGCACCTACCCAATACTACTGGCAACCATAAAATAGCTGAGCACCCATGAGAGGAAACATTTGGGACTTTCTCAGCATCAGCTTTGTTCAGTTTTCAAAGGTCACATGGACATATGTATGACCACGAGGTGAACTGATGAGATCATTCTTACCGGAGAAACTCCATTTACGCTCGACAACAATTAACACGGACGGGGACTCACCTCTCACCAATATGAGAACAAGGCTGCCTCATAAGCACTCGAGGGATCCTTCGAAAAAAGCCTGCATTACATGACAAGAATAGCTCCAGAGTTATCTCCCATATTGTTCACATTATCGCGAAGCCTAGATCGAGCATGTCCGCCCATGATGCATGACTACGATGATTAGTGAGCGGAACTTACCTTTTTACCAATACGACCACGAGGCTGCAACGCTCGGCGATCCTTTCAAAGCACAACGCACTGGATGAAGAGGACGAGAATAGCTATAGCGCTATGTAGATGATCAAAGAGTTCTAATAGGCACAACTTGCAACGACAATGACGGTGGAACTCAACATGGCGGCACACTCCAGATCCATATCACTGGCCAAATATTTTGAAGCGCTGCCATACAATCCTTGTCAATTATGTACTTGCGCCTTTTGGGTGGTAGATACGGCCGAATTGGTCTCAGGTCAAGGTGCTACGGTCAATATATTCAAGCAGTTACAGGGGGGAAGGGGGAAAAAAAGCGATGAACACTTATCACATGGTTGACCGCAGCTCAAACAATTCATTTTCTCCTCATTCAACATAACGGATTTTTTTTTTCGCGTTTTGCATGGAGGGAAAGAAGAGAGAAGTATATCATTCGAGATAAAATTAGTCAAGGGCGTACTTACGAATACCTGAATCTGAATTCGCATGGATTCATTATCGCTGCCATCATCATATCAACCGTCACATCCCTCGTTCCACCACCCACTCTCCATTCCTACAGCATGCATTCGGACCACAAGTCTTCGAGATCACGCGCAACCTTTTAGCAGACATCATGCCAATGCTACAACGCACCTGGCCCTGCAGGTACCGTCGGCGTAAAGAACCAACTTCGTCCTCCCATCCTCATCCGCTTAATCGACCGTCATGCGCTCGGTTTGAAGACCTTCTCCATAAGCCATGCTCTCAAAGATGACTTGCCTCCAGATATTGATCGCGAATTCCTGTGCTTCTTCTTCCAAGACCTGCGATGAAACTATAAGATGAAGCAAAGGTTGAGGCGTGAATACATGCGTACAGGTTCGAGACCCTCGACGAGCTTCTGAGGACCCTTGTGATCCTTGAGATGTTCGACCACAAACATGATTAGGTCATCATCTTCGAGTTCACCCAGATACTTAACCATCCGGTGCTTGATGATTGGTTCAAACTTCCTGTCGATCATCATCTGAACAAAACCAATATAAGCATTATAAAAAAAAGTGATATGACACGAAACACGTACGTCGGTAAGACCGTCCCATCTGACTTTGGCCTTGAATAGCGTCTCCTTATCGTGCGGAACGGACTGCTTGATCGTCTCCAAGCGCTCCTTGGCCTTCTCGCCTTCCGCAGCACTGAAGTCGAGCTTGACCAACGGCACCTTCCGCTTCTTAATCCCCCCTTCCTCCTCCTCCTCTTCCTGCCCAAACACGGCCGCCGCCCCCTTGACGACTTCCTTTTGAGCGTGCGGCTCCAGTTTGTTGACAGGTGCAGGACCAAGCAATGAGACGTTGAGTTTGACGGGCGCACCGTCGTCAAGCAACATCCCCGCTTTGCGCTGTTCCTCTGCCAGCGCTTGCATATCCTCCATTTGGCGGGCGAGGAACTTCTCGGATTCGATACGGAGGTTCTCTGCTTCGCGTTCTTCGTACGCACGGGACTCGCCGTCTGCAGCTTCCTCTGCGACTAGACGACGTGACCGGGTTTGTCGCCAGCGGGCTCTGAAGGTGCACATCATGTATATAAATAAACGATATGTGATAGTGCAAACGAATGGCGCACCTGTCTACGTAGTACAGCTTCGTCACTCTCGTCGTCGTCCCAGACGTCTAGTCGTGCTTGCATTTCTACCCGATCACGTTCTTCAGCTTCCTTGATGGCGTTCTGTCGTGCAATTGTCCGTTCGAGGGCTGCAATACGAGCTCGTTCTCGAGGTTCGTATCGACGCTCTCGCTGAAGAAAATTTACTGTCCGTCAAAGCACGACGAGTCTATTTGAGGACTCACGTCTTTAAAGGAGAGTTCTTCATCTCGTCTCCTGGCTTCCCTCCGCTCCTTTTCGAGTTCCTCATCCGTCCTAAGCCCAGTGCTCAACGAGCCAGTAGGCGGCCCCTGCATCTTCAGCCTTTACGAAGCCGACCGGTTTACTATAAACCTGAGAACCCTTTCCTTGTGGCTGCTGACTCTTTCCGCCGGGGGATGTGGATGCCTGTTGTTGCTGTGGCTTGCCCCATTCCCTCATCTTGGGTCCGCTCGGTGTCGTAGCTGTCGAAGAGAGTATATGCGGTATGCTCTCTCTGACTTCCCTGACTTTCTCGCGTTCCCTCTTTGCGGCACGTTCTCTGAATTGGGCAATCTCGGAGATGACGAGGCCGCGTTGACCCTCTGGTAGGTCTGCCTCCTGGAGGTCATGGAGGTGGGGCGGGATGACGTAGCGCTCTTTGTCGATCAGACCACGATTTGCGGCGTCTTGTGAGCTGCGGTTGATATCTTCGACAAGGGAGGTGATTTTTTGGAGGGCCTCTTGCACTTTTGCCTCGTCAGCCTGAAACCATTTAGCGTCGGTACAGGGGCGCGAACGAGATACGACATACATCTGTTTTCATTTTCTGTGCAGAATAAGCGTCCATGAAAAGTTTAGTCTTTTCGTCGGCTTTGATCTGTGAATCGTCATGGGAGGCGTAGGCTTGAAATGGGCTAAGAGAGGGATTGACGAGGACGCACCAGCAGTTTTTTGCTTGCGCAACCGTCTTCGAGCGCTGGCAGTTCGACGCCATTGAGCAGATTGATGCACCTTATTGCCGAGTCCGGGTCTTCGTATTCGACGAATCCGAAGCCCTGTGGTTTGTTGGCTGGAGTGATGAGACGTTTGAACGCCTTCATTGGACCACAAGCCTGGTCACACACAACGCAGGTAAGCGGGCGTCGTCATCGTCGTCGTTAATCCACGCACCCCGAGTAGTCTGTTGAGAACGTCGTCTGATATACCGCCTGATATCGACCCTACGAACAAGGTTGTCTGTTTCTGAGTTGGTGGCGCCATGATGTGGAATGGCTGGTGTAGCATTTGTTGCTGCTGTTGCTGCTGAGCCAGTGCTGAGATGGACGGCCCCTGCCCGTAGGACTGGCAGCGGTGGTCGCATGCCCAGTCCGAGTCTGCTGTTGGGTGCTGGCTGCATCCTCGTCGTCGTCGTTGTCGTCGTCCAAGAGAAGGTTCCCACGGCTGGCACTACCTAAGAGGGCCACAAAACCGTAGTAGTTGCCCACTTGGAGGCATCAGTCGTTTTAGAACCCATGCCGCTGGGATGAACTCCGTTGTTACAAAAACTTGTGTTCCCCACTGTCTTCCAGTGTTTCGATCATATCCGCCAGCTGTCATTCCATAGACCATGTTGTACATGTAAATTCATTGTGGTGTTGTGCTGCTGTACATCTTTGACACTCGACTCCACTCACCCTTTGATAACAATGGTCCTGTTCTTCTCCTCGACAGGTTAGCCCATAAAATGCGTACGGCGCGCACGTCTAACAGACAGTTCACAGCGGCGAACCCGCCAGTAACGATTTACATGGGCAGGGACAAAGTAGAAAGTATCACTCGTTGCACTCACAGCGACCCCCGCTGATCACAACCAGACGAGGACCTCATCAAATATGCCTGGCCACAGGACGTCTGGTTCCACGTCGACAAGCTCTCCTCTGCACACGTATACCTCCGCATGCAAGACGGAATGACCTGGGAGGACATCCCGCAGGCAGTCCTCATCGACTGTGCTCAGCTGGTCAAAGCCAATTCTATCGAAGGTGGGGTGTGTTGCGATTGTCAACCACGTCCTGCTCCAACTTCGTAATACAGGGAACAAGAAGGACAATATCACAGTCATATATACCCCTGCTGACAACCTGAAGGTACGGTCCATATGATGGATTTGGCACGGAACGGCCGGGTTCAATCCTTGTCCCAAGAAACAAGGCGACATGGCAGTCGGACAGGTGGCTTTCCACAACGATAAACGGGTACGTTTTCCTGTCCTTCCTCGCTTGTCATCTACCATATGCATACGTGTCTCAGGTCAAGAGAAGTGCGCTTGTTTGCCATGCCTGCGTCAATCAAACTGAATTACTGCTCCCAGTACATATTGCGAAGCGAGAGAACCCCATCGTGAACCGTCTGAACAAGACCAAGGTCGAGAAACAGGTCGACCACGAACAAGAGCGCATCGACCGTGTCAAAAAGGAGAACGCGGAGAAACGTGCACAGGCTGCGCAGAGGGTGACTAACATCCGAACCATTCGTCCTAATACTCACTACTCTCCCTCAGAAAAAAGAAGAGGCGGAGCTGGCGAGACAGCGAGCTGAAGAAAAATCGGCTAGATCGTATGATTCTTTGTTCAACGTCGAGGAGGATCCGGATGCGCCCAAGTTGACTGGTAAAGCCATCGAAGAAGAGTTCATGTAGCTGTATTCTGTAGTTGTCGTCCGTAGTGAATCGACTTGCCACCCTTCACACCACCTGCGTCCCTCATGAGCATCCGATTCGCCACTCCTCTGGACACTCAAGGCGACAGCGACAACGCCAGCCTGCAATTGTCGTCGTCATCTGGCGATTCAGAGGATAACGATTACCCTGAGGAAGACAACAATTTCGACGATTGGGTGTCAGACCAGGCACTCAACCGTCCTTGTCGATCTCTGTTCGACGAAGAAAAAGACTTTCCATCTATCGACGAGGCTCTGCGATACGATCAATCCACCCATGGATTCAGCCTGGCAGAAACATGCACGCGATTGAGTGGGTCGTGTCTCTCGATCTTATGATAGTGACGGTGGATGTCTTATGTGCTTGATCATTACTCAGACTTGGACTTGCATCAACGAATAAGATTGATCAACTACATTCGAAAAGACGTGCGTTTGGATACTGGAGATGAACTGACGTTCACGTCCTTGGCAGAAACCGACCCCCTCCCAACTGTCCAGTCTGACAGGCAAAGAACCGTTTTTTACCTCCGACGAGTACCTCCTACCCGTCATCGAAGATGACCCTTTACTACGTGAGTCCGTTCAACCCATGCCTCTTTGTGTATCCAACATCCCTCGTATACATAGAACTGGACTTGGACGACGACTGGTCTGACGACGAAAGCCCACCCACTGCGAACCCGCAACAACCCAACGAACCAACCGATCTCGCCACCGCTGTCCGTCGCATCAGACACCTCGAGGAGAAACTTTCCCAAGCACAAAAAGATCTCGCAGATTATCGAAATATCGTTTCCCAGAAAGTTGATGTGGCGAGGTTTGCTGAGATCGTCAGCGAACCTGGACCATCGTCATCGTTGACCAAGGATGGAGTCGACGACGTTCGCGATGACGACTCGCATTACTTCCAAAGTTATGGCGAAATCGGTACGGTTGCATCTATTCCTCCCATAACGGAATACGCCACTCAACGTTTGCGAATAGACATTCACGCTGTGATGATCAACGACAAAGTTAGAACCTCCTCGTACGCATCCTTCATCCTTAGGAATCCACATCTGTTCGAAAACGCGATCGTCCTCGACGTCGGGTGCGGAACTGGTATCCTTTCCTTATTTGCCGCCAAATCCGGCGCGAAACACGTCTATGCCGTCGACGCTAGCGATATCGCCGAGAAGGCGGAGAAGATCGTTCAGGCAAATGAACTCTCAGATGTTATCACGTACGTTTCCAGTGGATTCTATTGCTGGAGGCTCATTTTTTGCACTCAGCGTCATACGAGGAAAAGTCGAAGAGATCAGTTTACCAGATGGCAACACCCACGTCGACATCATCATCTCCGAATGGATGGGATACGCGCTTCTATACGAGTCCATGCTCGACTCCGTCTTACGCGCACGCGATAGGTTCTTGTCTCCCAACGGTGGAATTTTGGCACCCAGTCAATGCAGAATGATGCTTGTCCTTTGTGAGGGGAACGAAACGTACAAGGACCGCGTTGGATCCTGGAACGATGTCTATGGTGCAGTCTTTGGCGACGTAGGTAGGTCGAAGCTGACCTTTTAATTGGTTCAGGATTCGACCTCTCGGAAATGGCGAAAGAGGTGTACGACAATGCCATCGTCGATATCGTATCCCCAGAATCCGTTGTTAGCTCTCCATGTATTATCAAGGTAAGTAACCAGCCCGTTTCCCTCCTCCCTCTCTTCAACATACATGTTTAATGAATTCTCGCAGGACCTCCACCTCCGTACGATCGCACCCCGCCAGCTCGACTTCAAATCCCCCTTCTCACTCACTTGCACCTCCCCAAAACGGACCAAAATCCACGCTTTCGTTCTTTACTTCGATACCTTCTTCGTCGCCGGGCACCGTGACGACGATGACGGTGTTGGCGAACAACAACCGCTGGATCCCTCTGTTCCTGTGACGATCGTAAAAGAAGGGGACCCATTGTTGGCGGAGATATGGCCTGTCGGGGGTAAATCGCTCCCTAAACGACGCGCGAGTATGGGTTCGTCGGCGTGGAAGGCTAAGGAGAATAAGAAGAAGGGGAAGCTCACGAGTTTTAGTACGGGCCCGCTGAGTCATCCTACGCATTGGAAGCAGACAGTGTTCTTGTTGCGCGAGCCTATCGCTGCAGAGGAAGGTGTGTGATCTTTCTTTTTTTTGCTTGTTGGGGGTGACAAGAGTGGACTGTTAATGGTGGTTGATGATCTGCGATCGCGCAGGCACGGTCGTGTCGGGGACTTTCTCGTGTAAGAAGAACGAGGGGAACTCCAGGGAGCTCGATGTGGAGATTCATTATTCGGTCAGGCATTTTGGGGCGTCGTCGCCTGGCGAGACTGTCGTGCAAATTTATACTGTCCGATAGCGACGTGGGGACTCAGTCAGTTTCCCGGGGGAGGACGTGTTCGCGCAGTTGTATGTCGAACTTAGTGTCTGCGCGCATGCGCCATGATAACTATTGTATACGATATCTAACGATATGGTCGTCGGTTGGTTCAAGACTACATACTGCACTGACATTTCTAGTTCCTAGAGCGAAAGCTCGCGCTGGCGGATAAACTCTCCATCAGGCGTCTCTTAAGTACCTAGCTAGTAGGCGGCGTAGTTTCTTCGGCCACACGTCCACTCATACGACGGGTACATACCCAAAGCCATTCAGGCCGATAACCACCCTGTTCCTCGACGCAGACGATCTCCAAGTGTGGCATAACGATGGAAAGATATGCAGCAACATCATCACTCTTCGAACAAAGGGACGTGTAGACTCTCATATACCTCACTACCGCTACCGTGGTTATGGCGAGCGACGTGTTCAGGAACACAGATTAGATCAAACATCAACGTAAAGTGCTTGAGTTTTGGGCAATGATGTAGAAGGGAGGTAACGCCTCGTAACGTGAGGTGAAATGGAGGGCAGCCTGTACTACCATGAAATAGGTGGAATACTTCCAAGCGTGACCAAGCCTGAACTATATCCTCGAAGTCATTGATGCGATGACCCTAAGCCGATGGTAAGCCTGGTAGGGTTCCAACATTAGGTCATGGCCAGGCGGAGGGAATTTTGTGGAAGACACAAAAGTAGGACGAAATCCTGGCAGAGGGATTCCAGATGTTTGTGTTACGATGGGATCAGAGACGACATGTTAACTGGTGCTTGCAAGGGACCGCCGTCATCTTCGGATGCCGAACACTGGATATATATTTTGTGACTTGATTGAGGGAAGTCCAGCGGAACAGGTCTGTGCACGATGCAAGGGAGTGGGTCCAGACATTCAGCGTACGAAGTTGCTGGAAATTGTTACCCAGGCTCAGGACCAAGCTTCAAGTATCAGGAAGAAACACCCACAGCCGTTGCAATGCCTTCGCCTGAGCAAGACTTCTCAACAGTTTTGTCAGGAACCCGGAGTCTACGCCAGTTGAAAGGCCTTTCTATGCTCAACATACGGATGTTTGGGCAAGGTGCCAGTATGGAAGAGATGTCGAGCATGGAGGAACATTATCATAGTCATGGAAAGACACAGGTGAAAGGACATACATATCAAGTCTGCGAACACGGCGTGAGAGTCGCCGAATGATGTTCCAGTCATCGTCAGTAAGTGGATGTGATAATGCCGGATGCTGTTGGTGGTGTCACTCTAGCTGTCCATACAACAAGAGAACAGTAGGTCCTTCATCAGTAAAGCTAAGCGTTCAAAAACCTGGGTTTTCAAGCGCTTAATGTTCGCCAGTGTTTGCCGAGCATTCAAAAACTGTCTAATGTGCATGCTGTAATTTGGCTGAATTTACCGATGTTAGAAATGCCCCATTCTCCCGGGTCACAAACCTTTACAAGGTGGATGTCTGCAAGATACTAGAAGATCTCCAGCTTCCGGACTGTAGCTGGCTGGTTGAAGGTGCAGCAAGTCCTTGCCAATGCACACAGCGTCGAACTATCTTCGATATATTCAAACACGAGTCGCAGAATCTCATCCACGTGGAGGCATGGATGCATGATCATTGTCGGGATACATACTTAGTTCGAAAAATTTGCAGGTGGCGATGCCGTGGGAACTTCCTTAAAAGGAAAGGCCGCCCTCAGGCGGGTGGGCGGGGAGGGGGTTCGGGCATTCGAGTGGGCCCTGCGGGGCATCGCACCGTCAGGGCTCGGGCGGGATGGCTCGGGAGGGTGCCGAGGAACTCTGTTCACGTCCTACACATGTTTATCTATGCTCTTAACCAACGAAAAGTGGGAAATTTGCAGCCAGATAAGCAAATTTTCCCAGGTGGGAGGGCGGCCCGTGCCAATTTTTTTTGCAAGCGCGCGTTCGCACGCGCGCAGCCGAGCCCCAAGCACAAGTGCCACGCGAAGGTCGCGATCACGTGACCGCTTCCCGCACCCGAACACCACTCATCTAGCAAATTTGGGCGGGTCTCTTCGCAGAATACCCATTTATTTCGTGAATAATTACATGGCCTGCATACTGTGGCTTTCAGTAGCATTGAATTGAGTACCGATGAACGGGCAAGGGTTGCATGCAGCCCGCAAGTTGCCCGACCCTCACTTTCTCGCATGCATGCCCTCCGCTTAGTCAGCAGGCTGCCCGTGCATTTGCAGTGGCTGTGAGCACAGCCACCTCCAAATTTTTCCGGAATAAACTGACTACAGTATTCGTTGCGACCAACGATGATGCCCAGGTCGGAGGGGTCCTTTTTGACATCAGATAAGCTGATTAACTTGACATCCAGGCCGTCCATATCTAAGTGACCAGATTTTGGTGGATAATACGAGTGCTGGAGGATCTCATAGTGGATGAGCCGGTAGAAACGATGAGGCGATAACTCAAAGGCGAGTGGCTAAGGTAGAGCACCAATGCAGCCATGGCCCACACAACGAGGCAACCACGGGACACTCCGACTATCTTGGAAATTAGAATGCCAGTTCCCAGATCACGATTACTGCTCTGACTTATTAACGCTTTCTTGTTGCTAGTATTGTCTGTGCAATGGCTAAAGTCGATTGCAAGGTGAACCAACAGTCGGGTGTGTCGTATCTCCCACTATCCATGGAAAGCTGGAAGCCGACGGACGACTGTGTCTGACACCAGTGACTGGGTCAAAATTGGATAACGCAGATGATCATACCCTTGTCTGAAACGGTAAGCATCATGTTTGTGGAAGGAAGAGGAAGCCGATATTTGCAGAACGAACTACCGACACGACAATGTGGTCGTCTTCGTTACCTACAATTTCCATCAGAAGGAAACGAGGAACCTTGAAATGAAGACCTTACCCTCTCAGAGTAAATTAGCAGTCTTTTGCTCCTTCTCACTCGCCATCCAGCGAGCGTCATAAGGTGTAATGATGCAGAAATAGTTGTGCCGGTCTGCATGCATTCATTTAGGTCAGATAGACATTGACACTGGCGAGATACGCGCTAACGACCGCGTTGAGGGTAGAAGGAAGCGTGTGCGAAATTGCACAGTTAGATCTGCGATACATGCAGGCCTGTCTGGTTGTGTGATTAGCGACGTAGCGTAGATGACAACCACATGCAGACCGCGAGACTAATTTCTGCAGCGCGCACGAACGACGAGCTCCTCCTTATCATCCAGTGTCCATCATGACGTGTATCAACGCTATTCTGTACGATTCTTCCATAAGAATCCCGGCACATCCAGGATTGAGCCAGCCCGGAACCACGAGTTTGGAATGTCGAGATATAATTGTGTGGATGGGAGAGGTGAGTTCAGGGTAACCCATAGCGTCTGGACTGTTACACTAACCGTGTTATAGAAAAAAATTCGCGCCCAGCTGGTGCTTTCGACGCCGTTTGCATGAATGAGGGTCTAATGACCTGAAAACATGGACGGTGCTGTGGTACCTCCAGCAGTCCTAGTAGTTCACTCAGTCGGTAAGCATTAGTCATTCGACGCTACGCGCTACTTATTGCCGGGTCTCAGGACAGTCCCAGGTTCGACAGGATTTTTGAGGCTACTTTCGCCTAGAACCTTGACATCGCCGTCAATGGGGAAAATGTCACTCGCGACCAGTACAAGAAGTTGTTGCTTAGCAAAGGGAAGCCGGACGCATGAGATTCACGAACGTGCAGATCGAGGGAGAGGCAGTAGCCAAGAATTTTGATCATCGATTGGTAGGCCAGACTCCGGAACCTTTTCGTACCGTGACTAAATAACGTATACCATAGGGAGGCTTTATCGAGATGTTCAATACAGCTATTGCCAACTACAGCCTAAGTGTTCGTGGCGTGTCAACGAGAAAGCTGGCGAATAACGATTTACAGGCGCCACATAGATGAGTTTTCCACAATCTACGGAAGGATGATGGAGGAAAAAGAGTTCGACGATGAGACCAGTCCTATCGAGTGTTTCAAGGCGCTCGTGTTGAATCGTTATCGTGACGCCAACTTCAAGGCCTCCGACGACTTTTCCGTTCGCCAAAGGTGCCCGCTGGTACAAGAACATCCTCCGACTTCCGACGTGCGTGTCGACCTACATAAACCCATCACTGCGCTGTTCCTCTCGAATACGCACCAAGGAGGCAGTCTCCCAATGCGACACCCTTGAAAAGACGAGGCAGAGCCACGACGTGAATCCTGGTTAAGTAGGACCCAGCAGGAGATACGTGCGACGCACCGATGGCTTTCGAACGCGACTGGGCGGACTGGTGTGGCTCCGAAGCCAATACGAAAGGAGGACGATAGCGAAGCACGCTTGCCAAACCGCTCACTTAGGACCAAGACGATAGTAATTATCGTCTCCGTCTGCATCTTGCCAGCTTCGTTAGGGGTCTGCAGACAACCAAGTTGGTGATACTTGCAGCGGTCATGGTAAGTAATCCGTTTTTATCTCATTGGCTAGGCATCGCAACTCATCAGAGGGACAGGAAATGATGGAATCGCGGTCACGACCAGTCAGTGACGGGTTTAAACAGGTTTAAACCATTTTTTCGCTTCCTGATGCTCGTAGGATTTCGTCCCCTCCAGACGGACTTCGCGGAATGCTGTGTCTGTGATATCTTCCGTTACAACTTTCGTATTTAGTCGGTTAATCTTCTTTCCTGGGATCGGAGACTTGTACCGGGGCTAAAGTGGTTGGCCTACTCGAGTAGGTCCACTGATCCTTTCATCATCATAATATTTTCATCGCATTTTATGTAAACCCGAAACTGCACGTCCAAGACGCCAGAATAGCGCTCACATACTGTCACCCCCATGAGCGCAGAATTAAACTTACCTGCCACCCTCAGAAGTATACGTTCGGCTTCGCCAACCCAGACGTGGCGACGCTTCCCCAGGAACTCCAGGCCAGCAGGGACATCGTTATCGATGAGGCAGGATTTAATGCGTACTGCCTTCTGTCCGCCGATGGCGTCAATACTAAGCACTGGTATTCCATCATTTGTGTGGTACGGTATATCATTGGTTCGTGACCTCGAATGGTCCGGTGACGCGCTGCTTGGTTTGGGTCGCAACTACTTTTTCCGGAAGACCGTACGATTGTCGTATATAGGGAATTCTATCCGCAGGTTATCCTACAGTACCTTGCATCACCATCCCCCAAGCCATTCCTCACCATACATCCTGCCTCTACCTTCAGTACCAGCGGCTCGTAGAGAGTTGAGTTCTATCACCGGTATGGATGCACATATTGAAGGCTTCCGTGGATGGTGGGTACATATCTGAACCCATTCAGGCGCATAACCAGCCCCTATTTCGACAATGATGAGTGCCAAGGATGGCATAATGGTGGAGAGATATGCAGTAACATTGCTACTTGCTGAAACAGGGGACGCGAAAACTCCCATTCGCCTCACCGCGGTGTTTCGCACAGGGGTCCCGTAGCTAAGTCGAGTAGCACGTTCCGGAACACGGGTTGCGTCAAACTCCAGGGTAAAGCATTTGAGTTTTGGACAGCGATGTAGAAGGGCAGTAACTCCTCGTAACGAGAGATGAACTGGACGTCGTGAAGGGCCCATTATGACATTGTGAGATAGGTGGAACACCTCCAAGTGCGGCCAAGCCTTGACCATATCCTCCAAGTCAGTGTCTGCTAGTGCCAGGCTACAATGCGTGCGCAATGCAATGACCCTGAGGTGATGGCAAGCTTGGTAGGGTTCCAGCATAGGCCGCGGCCAAGCGGAGAGAGGTTCACGGACAGCGCCAGAGATGGAAAGAATCCAGAGGAATTCTAGATGCTTGCATCGTGATGAAATCAGAGACGACATGGAAACCAGTGTTTGCGAAGGATCGCCGTCATCTTCACATGTCTGACAGCAAATACATATCTCAGTGACTTTATTGGGGGAGGTCCAGCGAAACAGGTCTACGCATGATACCAGGGATTCGGCCACGACATCAAGAGCACGAAGTTGGGGGAAAATGTTGCCGCTGGGATGCTCAGGCCCACGGCCGATCCCACGAGGAAGAAACATCCACAGCCACCGCAATGCCTTCGCCTGGGCCAGACTGGTGAGCAATTCCCAGGAGGTCATATAAGACCTAACGAGGTCCAGATGGCAAAGCTCGGAGACTACCTTGGAAAATGCAGACACAGTTTGGTCGGGAATTGAGCACCCATGATGGTTGAATGTTGGCCCTCCTATGCTCAACATGCGGATGTTTGGGCAAAGTGCTGGTATGGAAGGGATGTCGAGATAGGCGTAGAATGCCGCAGGTATGTCAAATCGAAGGGAAGACAAGTGTGGTCCCAGAAGAAGATGGAAGAAACGAATGACGGCCTGGAAGGTTTCCGTGTGGTGATTCCAAACACTACTTAACTCAAGATAACCGGACACCTGGAATGATAAATCGCGAAGGTTTGGAAAAAGAAAGCCTGGGCCCGGTGGGGAGGCAAGAGAGCCAAACCACAGGGGAACGTCGTTATGCACATAGTCGGGTCCTACATCTACGAAGGATGTATAAAACCTGCGGACACGACTTGAGAGTCGCCGGATGGTGTTCCAGTCATTTTCACTGAGCAGATCTGATAACACCAGGTACTGGACTGAGTCGGTCTGTTGGTGGTGTTTCTCTGCATTCTCAGAAACGACATAGTAGCAATCCCTTACCACGCTGCCCTCCTTCGCCACAAACCTTGCAGAAGGGAGATGCTGCAGGATAGGTTCCACGGCGGTCAGAGTCTCCCAGATCAGATCCGTAGCTGGTTCGTTGAACGTGCGGCAAGTCCTGGCCAACGCACACAATGTCGGGCGAACTTCGACGCATCGAAATATGAGTCGTAGAATCTCATCCACGGAAAGGCATGGGTGCATGATGATAGCGGTGAGCAACTGCAACCTTCGGGAGGAACGGCCTCAAACTCGCTGATAAGTCAAGCTTCTTCGACAGTTCTCACGCGACGATTGTCAACTACGAAAGGACGGACCCCCCGCAGAATCTTGATGTGACACACAACACATTTACTATCTAACTAACGTTGCCTCTGTTTGACACTCCTGACATTGGTTGATTCTGTGGTCGATTCAATGTTTCTCTCGAGTCTCCCACATTCGGAATCACACTTGAGAACCTCAACTTGTTTACGGGCCTCTTTCACGGAATCCGCCTCGGTTGCGTATACATCACCCCAGTGAGGGGGGGCCATTTCGAGAGTCCTTGTGGTTCCTGCAGGGCGATCGTACGGTAATTTTGGCTGCTTCCACTTCCCAAAGACGAGCTGGCTTTGATTGCTTCCAACACGCAGCATCCAGAGATATATATCTGCAAAAACTAAGGCTTGTGTATTCAAAAGCGTACATTCAAGTCCAAAAACGACTCATTGTGTGATACTGTGTTGGTACATTTCCCGCAGACGCTTCCGGACGTGTTCCCCTGCATTGATGGTCTCGTACTTGGCTTGTCTCTCAGCGGATACACAACTCGGTATGGGCTGGAGGAGGTGAGTGACTTGACTCTCGTGGACAAGAATCAAAGACCAACATACCTCGACCTCGACGTGGGGATCTGCACCCATGAACTGTGCAATAGAATAACGACAGACGCCGCTCCTGTTGATCACTCTATGCACGGTCGACCTAAATATGTCATCTTTAAGGAGAAGCATGTAAGACTCGAATTAGGACAGGGTGTTCGGAATGGCAGCTCACTCGTCCATCGCGAAAGCAAGTCGCCAATACTAAGTGTAATCAGCCAGGTAATTTATGAAAAGCGCTTTCGGTCTGGGACGTACTTGATGACCAGCGTGCCGGGAATTGGCGTAGCATTTATCCATTGCTTCTCCGAGTTTAGGATCTGCAGAGCCTGAACACCAGGTTCCTGCCATAAGATGGTGAAGCACTGCATGTTATTTCAGTGCTGTATTCGCAAAGTTGAACACCTTGGTGAGACTCCCTACCTCAAAACTGCAAGGAATATTGTCAGTGCATGTTTAAAAATACAAGTGGGATGCTCACTCGGAGTGAGCACCGATTCCAACGATACGGTCGTCTTCGGAACCTGTTTGAGGGGGATAATGGAGTCCCCGCATGATTGGGTCACGCTTGAGCTGAAAAAACCGGGGTGAAGACGATGAGTTTATAAGTAGGAACGACGGTACCTTGCCATCGAAGTACGTTTCAGGGAGATCCAGTGCGAGGGCAAAGAGGCGGTGCAGAACCTTTCCAACACCAAAAGCTGCGTGGCTTGATGACGGAGCTGGATGAATACACTCAAACAGCATATCGCTGTGAAACGTACTAGTAATTGACGAAGGCTTCACGGAACCCAGCGGGTTCCGAGGGCCATAGGTTTCCAGAAAACGCAGTATCGCCATCTGGTTTCTTGTCATCGCCTTCCTTTGGTACCAGTTCTTCCCGACTGATTACGAAACCTTCGTACAGATCACCTCTGTTGGCTAGATCGATGTTGGAATCTAAAAGGGGCTCATATCCTCTGAAATGTGTGCCCTGTTTGTGGAAAAGCTTACTCCGGATGAGGCGAAGATCAAGGTGATGCGAGAACAATGGGCCTACCTTCATCTTCGTCTCAGTCGGGAGAGAAAAGTAAGCTTTCATCGCCGAGAGGGCTTCATCGATTGTCTCTTCAGGGATACCGTGATTTTTAACTGCAAATGGCTCGTTGGAAAATGTTTAATGTCAAGTCAAAAGGGTCTTCCCCCACCGTAAAAGAACCCAACACTCATGCACGCATCTCTGATCTGCCGAGCCAATGCAGCCCGCTCCTTAGGTGTCGACGCATGTCCTATATCTCTGTCCGAAAAGTGAATCCGAGTAGTACTAGGAATCGAAAGGCGACGCACATAATAGGAATGGAATCGAAAGCACTGCTCACCGAAGTCGCAGATATCGCCACGGACATCTTGAGGGGGGTGGCTTAATCACTCATTCTCTGCATAAATATACAACCTGAGCGCCTAGCTGATAAGAAACAACTGGCGCAAACATGCAAATACAAACCTCAAAGTCCGGACCATATGAACCACTTAGAGAACATAAGAGTCTTGGTGACTTGGAGTCGGGGGAAGTGGTGATGAGTCAGTGCCAATATATCCGTATCCACTGATCACATTTGACGTTGTTTGCTTTCATCCCCTTTTGGGTTTCCCTTCCTTGTCTGGTATCCAGACTACTGTCCTTGCGTGGTGCGCCTACTTCCCTCTGCTGTCATGCTTTGTGTCACGGGCGCACGACTCAGCCACACTTTTTATTCTATAGTTGTTCTCTGTCAGTGTTTTGCATGTTTGTTGCTCCGTCTGCTGGATCAAACAAGGCTAGGTCCCTTTCTGCTACGTGTGTGGTGTACCTCCTGTGCCGTTGACGCCTCCCCTGCTCGGTTTCATGTGTATCGCCCTTTCAACGATGACATTCACCGTGACAATACTTTCCCATTCCATACTGCTCGTTGTTCGTATCCATATCGAAGTTGCAATCATTGTGGTCCCCCGCCTCTTCTTTCACCATCCTAATCCCACGTCATTTCATAAACATTTACGAGCGCCCAAACACTTCCGGCCTTTGGGCATGGTCCCTCCCAACATGAACGGTCCAGACACATTCTGCGCGCGAAGTTGCGCAGGTTGTACACAAAAGCCCGTGATACCGGACCCCCGGCCTGGTGCAGAGTAACGTCCCTCTGCATCAGACCAACGGCAGTCATGCCAACATCTGTGACTCATCCGTGATTAAATTTGGGTCCAACAATTGATAATGGTTGACGTGGAGGTGCTTCATGGATTCCACTCAATGCTCAAAGTCTACTGTTGAGCACTGGGCTTTTATCCATTGCTTCTCTGAGTCTGGCACCTGAAGACCTTGAATATCGGGTTTTTGCCATAAGATGGTGAAACACTTCCCGAAGAGTTATCAGCACACCCTCGGGATAGAGGTACATAATGTGAGATAAACCAGACGTGTTTTGTCTTATTCTACAAACCTGCATGGAATGCTTAAGCTGCATAGACCTGGCAGTTGAACGTTGAACGTTGAGTGTGCGGCTCGAACAGATCATGCCTTCGGTGCGGGACATGTCTTATCAGAAATGGAAACGAGGTTCCAGCCTATCTACGTCTCACTGCCAGCGTCGGAGTCCACCGGTAGGTTCATCCAACCGCGAAAGTTCCTATTGGCTCAAATCAGGGGAGCCCGGTTGCATTCGCGGCCACAAGAAAGGTCGCAGACGTTCGTACAAGTGATTTTGTGCAGGTAATGGAGGTTCGTTACTCAGCCTGCTGTGGAGCTTCCTGTAGCAGATTCAAATTCGTCCTATAAAGCATTCGAGTACCAGCAACCAGCGACATATACGATAAAGTCCAGGACGTGTGTTCAAAGGCGTACATATGTAAACGAGTTATTGTCTATCATTTTGTCTAGTCGCGCCATTGGAGGTGGTGACGCTTTGTTGGTACATTTCCTGAATGCGCTTCCGGACGTAATCTCCTGACTTGATGGTTTCGTACTTGGCCGGTCTCTCAGGAGATACACAAGCTCGGTATGGGCTGGAAGAACTACGTGATCTGGGTCTCGTGGCAAGAATCAAAGGCCAACATACCTCGACGACGACGTCGGAATTTGCACCGATGAACATCGGGATAGAATAACGGCTGAAACCGCTCCTGTTAATAGCTCTGTGCACGGTCGACCTAAATACGTCATCTTTCGGGGGAGCATGTGAGACAAAAAATCGGTAGATATGTTGCCATTGGCACTCACTCGTCCATCGCGAAAGCAGGTCGGCGATACTAAGCGTAATCAGTTGGCTAATTTATGCAAAGCCCATCATGATTCGGTCTGGCACGTACTTGATGACCAGAGTACCGGGAACCGGGGTGGCATTTATCCATTGCTTCTCCGAGTTTAGGATCTGGAGGGCCTGGATACCAGGTTCTTGCCATAAGATAGTGAAACACTGAAAATTGTATCGGTCCCATCATCAGAAAGTTGGACGCCGTAGTGAGACCCCCCACCTCGAAACTAATTAGGAGGTTTGTCAGACTATATTCGGGGGTGCAATATAAGACGCTCACTCTGAGTGGGCACCGATTCCCATGATGCGCTCGTCTTCGGGACCTGTTTGAGGGGGATAATGAAGACCCCGCATCATTGGGTTATGCCTGAGCTGAAAACCCTGGTGAAGATCATGAGTGTGCATGTGGGAACGGTGGTACCTTGTCATCAAAGTACGTTTCAGGGAGATTCCAAAGCGAGGGCAAAGAGGCGGTGCAAGACCTTTGCGACACCCAAAGTTGCATGGCTTAATCGATGGGATGAGTCGTGTCCGAATAGTGGTTTACCATTATGAAACGTACTAGTAATCGAGGAAGGCTTCACGGAACCCAGCGGGTTCCGAGGGCCATCGGTTCGCAACTGCCGGAGTATCGCCAACATTTTCTTCTGGTACCAGTTTTTCCCAACCGATCATGAAGCTTTCGTACAGATCACCTTTGTTCGTTGGGTTGATGTTGGAATCTAGAAGGGGCTCATATCCTCTGTAATGCGCGCCTTGTCGGTGGTGAAGCTTACTCTGATGAGGCGAGGATCAAGGCGATGTGAGGATGTTGGACCTACCTTCATCTTCGCCTCAGTTGAGAGAGAAAAGAAAGCTTTCATGGCCGAAAGCGCCTTGTCGATTGTCTCTTCAGGTACACCATGATTTTTAACTGCAAATAGCTCGTTGGCAAACGATCGTGTCAAATCAGGAGGGTCTATTCCCACTGTAGAAGAACCCGACATTCGTGCACGCGTCCCTTATCTGCCGAGCCAACGCAGCCCGCTCTTCAAGTGTTGACGCATGTCCTATGTCACTGCCCGATAAGTGAGTTCAGGTAGCACCGGAGGACGCACGAAACGACGCACATAATGGGTATGCTATCGAAGGCACCGCTTGCCGAAGGTGCAGTTTGTGCCAGAGACATCTCAAGGTTCAGCGCTCAGCGCTCACTCACATGGCAGCTTCACACTTATATACGCATGCAAACTAGCTGACCCCCCTCAACTGTCGGTTTTGGTCTTCGGGAGATCCCGCGGCCATTCAAGACTTACGAGTGATCTGGTAAGAAATAGGTGAGTACTGCGATTACGTGGAGCCTCCCGGGCTAGCGGCATTAACGGCCTCTTTACAAGACGACGAAATGACGGAGTAGTAATCCTAGAGCAGGACTAGTCCTGGAAAACTGTGAGTATTGCGCCACTGATTGATGGCCACGAGATGTTTGAATTTGAAACCGAAACCCGTGTCTGATCAAGCTACAAGTGAAGTGCACAGCCAAACCAAGTACTTTGTATTTTTTCTACCTACGTGTGCCTTACGTCGCTGCGTGGCGAAATTAATCAACGCCGCTAGGAACCTAACTGGTATCGCAGCAATAGCAATTTTCGCTATCCTGCAGCGACACCGCCCTGACCCCAAGCGGGGCCGCGTATGCGAAAAGCAAATTCGTTACGAACCCGATAGAGTGTTGTAACAGCTCCTCAGGTGGCCGGGTTGGAGTTGGCCTGAACTGTGTGCGCGGTATGAGCTGGTGGTACGGTACGTGTCACAGGTACACAGTACTTCCTTTCTTCTCTTCCCCCGTTGGTTTCGTCCACAGCTGACGAGGTGTGTATCAGTGTTGTTGCAGCATGTTCTGCCAATCAACAATGCCTGTCCCTACGCCAGATCAGATCGATGTTTCAGGATCTCAGATCTTGCCCAATACACCTGATTTATTGTGCAACCAGGCTGCGGTTATAAATCGATGTGGAGCCATCATCAGAACGTCGGAGAGCCTTAGGACTTTTATGATGGTTCACGCTTGCAGTTCGTACGTGAGAGATCTTATTATGCATGAACTGCTGACATTCGATGTTTTTCCATCTATGTTGCGCACTCTCCAAGAGCAATGAGGTATCCCCTTTACTGACTACCTGGAAGCCAAGGACCCCGCGAAATGCAGCGCTGCATATAAAGAGACAGGTGTACTACGACTGGACTTGGCCGTCATCATTGAGGTTTCCGTCATCTCTGATGGATCAATGGTTTTGATGATTTAGTCTACCTACTAAAAGAGGTACTGCTTGGGCGATGCAAGTTGTCCAAGTCGTACTTAAATGCGGACACCATCCTTTTGCAACAGCAGGATTGCTTTACTATCAGGTTGATACGTCCACACTCGATCACTCATTCGAGTTCGCGCCTAGTAGCAAATTTGTAACGAGTCTGCCTCCTACAAGTTGTTGGAACGTCATGAGCATCCTGGGCGGATTTAGTGAGGACCTTTCTTACCCGAATGTGGTCTTTCCTATTAATTGGATCGCAATAGGTTGTGCCCTCATTGGGGGTTTCGTCTCCGTGATGTATGTGTAACTTTGCTTGATGCTGTTATGTCTGCCCCTCTGATGTCTTTATTCCATGTCAAGGTTATATGGCATAACAACTCTACAGGGGCGTTTTAACGAAATTGTTCAGCTTGGTGCTCTGCTTACTAGTTATAAAGACTTATGTGTATTACATGTACTACTCTGAGGATGCCTCAGCTACGAAGTTCCTTGTTGCTGTCACATGGTAAGTTGGGCGACTTTGGAACGCTCGTCAAACCTGCTTAGACGATGTCAGGGTTTTGGATAGCTTACATGCCTCGTTCAGTGAGTGTTTGGTGCATATAAGCGAATACATGGTTAGACATTAATGGATGACTAGTGTGCCATATGTTGTATTACTACCTGGTAAAACTGATCCATCTAGCCCTCGTAGCTGTTATGCTCAATCACTGCAGGTAACCAATTATGGAATTCCAACGAGTTTGGAGTATCTTGTCTGGTTCATATACCTTTCCATTTGAAAGCTGCTAGATCTCACTGATGAAATATGACATGTGGCAGGTCATTACCGGTATGCAAACTGCAATTTCTGCAAAGCACTGATTCAATATTTCCGTCGTTTAGGCATCACTTCTGGTGGATGTACGTTCCTTTCACCTTCCAAGCTTTGATGATAACGTCTCCCTGTATTGCAGGTACTTGTGGTTTTTGTAGTTCAATGGTAAGTAACTACCCAATATGGGTTGATACTCGTATACTGAATGCTATTAGCTTTTTTGCACATAAAATATATCACCGTATGTCGCATTCGACCTATGCTTTGTATCTTTGTTGATCAGTATTCAGTTTGTCGCCCTCAAGTGAAGTGGTTGGTGACCGCCCCGATTGTGAGTATGTCTGCTTGTGATGGAAAACATATATCATCCAGACTTCTATGTTATAGCTAATCTCGGTACTAGCTCATTTCGGTGAGTTTTGTTTATTGTGCAAGTTATGAGGCATTTCTAATGATGTTTTAATAGGGTTTGGCATGGGTGCGTGATATAACTCCACTCTGAGCCTTATTCTAATCAACAAGCAGGGATGGCTGTTTTCATGTACTCCAAGCTGTCCAACCATCTCTACTGAGATATTGATCTCTTCATATAGGTTCGTCAATACCGAGGCCAGCGCCGCTGAGCAAATTAGGGTAGTTGTGTTAATAGAAACATTGGCACACTGGCTCACAAGTCGTTATTGATAGTTTTCCGTCCTGATACCGTTCGGGGCCCTTGCCATAGTTCCAGAGGGTCTGATTACGGCGTCACTTTGCATACTTTTGTATGACAGCAGCAGTCGCTCCATGTTCCCAAGGTGACTTCACTCTGCCTTGTTGGTTCGTGCTTAATGAACCATGTTTAGAACGGAACAACTCCTGAACACGCTTATCATCTATGCTGTCAACCGATGTTTGCTGACTTTGTAAGTTTGATGCCCCTCTCGTTGCAACTGAGACTTGATCGAAATTTGTAGACTGGTCGCCATTGGGGAGCTTACCGCGGTACTTGCTACCTGTTACAACTGCAAGACGGCTGTGCCGCTCACACAATTTTACAGAGTGTTTATCAACAAAACACATGGGCGACAGTATTGGACTTCATCATTGGAAAGTGTCAGTCTTTCGTACCTTGCATACAGCGGACACAGTACCCCAGCTTACTATTTAATAGTATATGCCAACTCGCTTCTAGCATCACTGAATACCCGGCAACACCTTCGAAGCCAGGGTTCACCTTCAGGTACCGAGCCAGATCGATATACCAAGGCTGTCCACGTTGCAAATTTTCCAAAGCGTTCGGATGATGTAGAGAGTTCAATGGATGGAGCAAGGCAGTTTGATATGCGCTAAGTGGCTGTCATCAACATCACTGCCGATGCGGCACTTAGGGGCATTCGACGTTCCGTTGTTACTCCGCAAGATAAAATGTTGTATTTATAACTGGAAATACCACTGCTTCCTAGACGCAGGTCTATGAAGATGTTCGTCGCCAATGTTTTGATAGGCTGGTCCTGCCGGTTACATGAGTGTAGGGGTGTGTACTATTCATGTTGAGGAGCGGAAGGAGTGGACTAGATTAAGACAAATTGCGAGCTGGCAGCGGTTCAGAACCTCAGAGAAGATATCGATACTCAAGTGACCAGCTCCATCCAGTGCCTATCCACGCTTACAGGGGTCTATCTGGTTGAAAACAGGACCAATGCATGCACCACGCAAATTTGACAAGACTAGACGGCGTTCGGAAAGAAAGCGCAAATCATAAAGCTCAGTCCCCATTGCCGACACACGCTTTAAGTATTTCGGATCTGCAGGCATACACCTGGAGACACTTACTGTAATAACAACACCAGTCCAGGTAATCAATTGTCGAACGCGGACTTCCAGACTGCTTCAAAAATATTTCGTAGGTTCTGCGCTACACACTGCCACCTTAACGTCTGCATCACCTTTACCTGTCAGAGCGAGCGGGTTACCCGCCCTCCTGGGGCCGAGCCCGACCACCGACAGGATGCGACAAGCGTGAGACAAGGTTGTAAACCTATCTAATAAAGATCATGTGTATTGAAAAGCATACATACAATTATAAATCGACTTATGGACCATGACAAGTTCCTGGCCACATTAGGAGGTAGAGATGTTTCGGTAATACACCTCCTGCAGACGCTGGTGGACGTAGTCCCCTGCAGCGACGGGTTCGTACTTGGGCGGTCTCTCGGGGGATACGCAACTCGGCATGGGCTGGACGAGGTGATTGATCTAGGTGCCGCAAGGAGAATCAAGGTCAACCTTACCTCGACCTGGACGTGGTAATCCGTGCCGAAGAACAAAGGAATGGAATATCTGCGAACGCCGCTCCTGTTGATCGCTCTATGCACGGTCGACCTAAATACGTCGTCTCCCAGGGGAACATGTGAGAAAGGAATCAGTATGTATACCCGGATTGACACTCACTCGTCCATCGTGCAAGCTGGTCACCGATACTAGTTGCAATAAGTCGGATCATTCAAATGTCATTCAATCTTCCACACACTTGATAACAAGCGTTCCGGGGATCGGCGGTGCCTTTACCCATTGCTTCTCGGAGTTCAGTAGTTGAAGAGCCTGAATATCGGGTTCTTGCCATAAGATGGTGAAACACTGCATATCATTTCAATTCGAGATTCTATATGCTTTGATGAAAACCCCCAACCTCGAAACTACGAAGAGGTTTGTCATGGCAGATTCAAGGGTGGGAATAGGTGAGATGCTTACTCTGAGTGGGCACCGACTCCGACGATACCATCGTCTTCAGGACCAGTTTGAGGTGGATAATGGAGAACGCGCATGGCTGCAGCAGAATTCCTGGTCTGAAAACCATCAGCAAGGAAAGTTGGATACATAGGAACGACCGTACCTTGTCATCGAAGTATGTTTCAGGGAGATCCAATGCAAGGGCAAACAGGTGGAACAGGACCTTTCCGACACCTACAGCTGCGTGACTTGATCACGGGACGGGATGAGGTACACTCGAACGATACGTCAGAATGGAGCGTACTAGTAATTGAGGCAAGCTTCACGGAACCCGCCGGGTTCCGAGGGCCATACATTTGCACCAGCCATAGCACCATCATTCGCTCGCTTTTTGTCGTTTTCCTTGGGCACCAATTCTTCCCAACCCATTTCGAAGCCTTCGTGTAGGTCGCCTCTGTTGGCTGGGTCGGCGTTGGAGCCCAACAGGGGTTCGTATCCTTTGAAATTTCCAACCTCTTTGTGATAGAGCTTCTCCGGATGAAAGAAAGATAAGACGACGTAAGAACGGTAGGCTTACCTTCATCTTTGTCTCGAGTGGCAGAGAAAAGTAGGCTTTCACTGGCCAAGAAGACATTGCCAATGGTCTCCTGGGGTATACCATGGTTGCTAACTGCGAATCGGTCGTTAGAAAGTAGGTGTCAAGACAGGACGGTCTGTGCCCACTGTAAAAGAATCCAACATTCATGCAGGCATCTCTAATTTGCAGGGCCAACGCAGCGCGTTCCTCGGGTGTCGACACATGTCCTATATCGCTGTCCGATAAGAGAGCTTAGGTAGTGCTGGAGAACGTAGGAAACGACGCACATGATGGGTATGCTATCGAAGGCACCACTCACCGAGGCCGCGGTTTCTGCCAGAGACATCTCAAGGGTCGCTCGTGGGGACAGCCTTACAACTCATCTTCGGTATAAATACACAACACTTATCTGATACTAGGAAGTTCCCACTATAGGCGCTTCCGCTGGCGTGAACCAAACGTGGGAAGAAGGTAGGTGATTGGTGCCCCAGGAGATGCGTGTCAAGAGTGCTGGACCCAATAAATGCCTGATATCTTAGCGCCAACCAAAGTCCTTGGCGGGAGCCTTGTGAGAGGTGAACGTGATCAGGTAACCTTTACTGGCGACTTCCGAATTCAAACTTGTGCAGAGGTTGGTTGCTCAGTCAAGCTTGCGGAGAAGCATTTCTGTACCCAGCATGCAGGTCGAACGTGTGGTTTATCTGTCTCTAAAACGACTTATTTGATGGAGGTGCATCATGCTTAAACCAAAGGTGTTTTGTCTTAGATTTGGCAGCTGACTATGCGAACAGATCACGAGTGGTCCATCGAGCAAATGCCTTTTGCACGGGATACATCTCATCAGGAACGCCGTCGAAGTGCACCGGTGGACGAATCCAATTGACGCAGTTTTCTATTGGTGCAAATTAGGGGAGCCTAGTTACATTCGGCGCGACAAGTAAGGTCGTCGAGGTTGATTTTGTGCAGGAAATGGACGTTCATCACTCTGCCTGCCTGTGGAGGTTCCCGTAGCAAGGGTAAGTTCTATCCTATAATGCATTCAAGTAATCAGCAACAGGGACATATCCGATCGCGGGCGAGTGTCTCATTGTCCGTTATGCCTAGTCGCGTCATCGGGATGGTTCCCTTTGTTGGTGCATATCCCGAATGCGCTTCTGGACGTATTTATCCTGATTTGATGGTTTCATGCTTGGCTGGTCTCTCAGGAGATACACAACTCAGCACGGGCCTCGTGGCAAAAATCAAAGGCCAACACACCTAGACCTTGACGTGGGAATCCGCATTGGAACGGAATAACGGCAGACGCCGCTCCTGTTGACCTCGGTGCACGGTCGACCTCAATATATCGTCTTTCAGGGGAAGGTTGTGAAACTCGAATCATCACGATGTTCGAAATCGCAGCTCATTCGTCCATCCTGAAAACAGGTCGCCCATACTAAGCGCAAGCAATCGGGGAATTTATGCACATTCCTTTCGGTCTGGCACGTTCTTGATGATCAACGTCCCAGGGATTGGCGCAATTTTTGTCCATTGCTTCGCGGAGTCTAGGATCTGGAAGGCCTGGGTTCTAGGTTCTTGCCATAAGATGGTAAAAACTGCATGATATTTCAGTCATGTGTTCGCAAAGTTGAACGCCTTGGTGAGAATCCCGACCTCCAGACTGTCAGGAAATTTGTCAAGGCGTATTCAACGATGAAAATGAGATGCCTGCTCTGAGTATGCGCCAATTCCGACGATGGCATCGTCTTCGGACCTGCTTGAGGGGGATAACGAAGACCCCGCATGAGGTTACGCTTGAGCTGAAAACCCGGTTGAAGATCACGAGCTTATACGTGGGAACAACGGGTCCTTGTCATCAAAGTACGCTTCAGGGACATCCAATGCGAGGGAAAAGGGGCGGTACAAGTCCTTTGCAACACCTAAAGTTGCAAAGCTGGATTAATGGGATGAGTCACGTTCGAATAGTAGTTTGCTATTTATGAAACGTACTGGTAATCAAAGAAGGCTTCACGGAACCCAGCGGGTTCTGAGGGCCATCAGTTCGCAACTGCCGGGGTATTGTACATTGATTTCTATTCCCTACCTTTGAGCTGAACAAATGATGTCAGTGAGAAGTTGGATAGTAGAAATAGTGGGGAAAATAGCATAGATAGTTGAAAGATAGTCAAAAGATAGTACAAAGAATAGTGTGGACAGTAAATGAACCTACTAAAATGACTCTTCTGTCTTTTATGACTATTTTAGTGCAAATAGTACAAATAAGACATACAGTGTCTCAAAATGGAAATGCACAACAGCCACTTTTACAAAAATTCCTCTCATTCTCATGTAGTAATTGATATCTGGCAATTATATCAATGTGAACATGTTCTCCTGTCTCTAGCCTACCTGTCCATGTGTTTTTGTGTGCTGTACATCAAATGAACAGTGAGTTATGTGGGCAATAGTGAGAAGGGTGCTGTGCATTACATATTATTTCAGCTGGTGTCAAGTCTGGGCCTACTCCAACCAACTCCAATGCATAACAAGGTCTGGGGAGAGGTTTGGAAGCAAGTCCAACACAGTTGAATGGAACTCTGACAAGTGGAGGATTGGCAGGAATGAAGTCTGCCAGGACAGAAGCAGAGTGGAGTGAGGGCATTGGGTTTAGCTTGTGCACTACCCCCTTGCACAATCTCAGCCCTTGTATTTCAGAGGAAGAGACCAAATGGAAAATTGGAGATAACTCTGACAGACAGAAGATGGAGAGATATGGAGTAGGAACTTAGGTGATATTCATACTAAAGGACAGTGGAGTACTGTACAGGCTTTTTATACCACTATGGAGGCACAGTAACCAGAACCAGAACTGACATATGGAGACTTGTAAATTTTCAAGTGAAAACTTCCTGGACAATGAATGAAGGGGAGACAGAGAATATATGATGGGTAACATAGAACAAACCAAAAAGGAAACAGTCCAGGCACTGGACCATGAGGTGCATGTGCTATGGAGTACCTGACTGTGTGCTGTCAAGGAGAAGTCCAAAGGCTGGACTGGCAAGGGTCATGTGACCCACTGGAAAGTGGTCTGCATGGCCTGACAGAAGGCTGGTACCAAGTCCAACAGTAGCCAGGGCAGTGTTATGCCCGAGCGCGGTGACTTCTTCAAATGGAATAGGCACGAAGCGCGCGAGGTGGGAGTCTACGGGCCAAACTTATCATAACCCCTATGGCTGAGTTATTGCGAGGATCCAACAGAGGTCTTGTCTGCTGGTGAGGGTTTCGCGCGGAGAGAAGACAAGGATCGAAGCAAAGTAATTAGCTCAGTTGCAAGCTATCGAAAAACTGAGGATACATGGTAAAGTACGGGAGCTTATATACCCCTAAGTACGAGTACCGTACCAGTCGCGACAGACGCGTCACGACGCGTATCCGCAGTAGTCAACAAACTAATCACTGAAATAAATAAGAGTCATCCGGTGTCAGAGATGGGGATAGGGATGGAAACGAGGGCTATACCGGCTGCGCAATCAATGCGCAGCGAGAGCCCAGACACCGGAGCTATAGTACAACATACGTGCAATAAAGGCGAGTCAGAAGGAGTCAACGGATCAGAAAGGAAGCATCTCGTCAATCAGAAGAGCAGTGAACGTCACAGATCACGAATGATGAGTCTCGACAGGTATTGGAAATACCTGGACAGCAGGTGATCCGAATCGTCCCTGAAGCATACGCACTCCTAATGTGACGACGAGTACCAGTGACGCGACGAGGCACGTGACGCACGTGACCATGAGAAGTCGAAAAAGGCAAGACCCCTGACGGAAGCGTAACATCACCCCCCCTCTAAGGTCCTCAGACCCTTGAGGATGGGCCAGTAGGCACATTTCCAAGGCGGGCAGATAGGGGTCTGCGAGTAGTGTAAACGTGGGAGCGTGTTCAACTGGTGACGGGCAACAATGGCGATGGAGATGGCGGCTCTTCGAGGGCCGGAGTATAGCGGGAGCCGCGTCTGTTGTGGCATGACCAATGTCCCAAGTAACGACATTGGTAGTAGGCATGTTGATAGAGGGGATGTTCAGGGGGGATGGGCGACTGTCCTCCCAGGTAGAACCGAAGTTGATCCGAAGGGATGGGGATGAAGGGAGTCGCAGGGAGAGGGTCAGAGGCGTGCATGGCGTTGAAGTAGTTTTTGTGCATACTGGCCCACGACGCATCCTGCAAAAGCACCTCCCACGAGGAGTTATGAGTTCCCGTTCCTAGTCGTGCACCGACCTCTTTAAACAGTTCTCCTGAGTCGACATATCCCAACTCAATAGCATGCCATTCCTTCTCCTTCTCCTGATCCGTTTTATCTTCTTTTAATTTGACCTCGGCGGGGACCGCTTCCTTCGGGATGATCCGGTCCAAGATACGCAAGGCAGGTGGAGCGAGGAACTCGTTAATTTGCTGTTGCCGTAAGTGATGATAGGCCCCGCCCATGATGGCTTCGGTAATTTCGGAAGAAGCCTTCTCCAACATCTCGATCATGATCACCTCTGACAGGGGCGCTACACTGGTAAGCTTCCGAGTTCGTATTTTGGAGACCAACCCATTGATTACGTCTGATGCTCTGTAGATCTCAGACAGCATCCCAAAATACTTAACTTGTTCTGGTGTGCACCCGTTAATGTTGTCCCCGTCGTGGAAGACGTCAAGTGCCCTAACAACGTCCAGGTATTCAGCTGCTGGGACTGGTAATCTTTGCTTGTCAGTCCCGGAAGCGGAGGCAACGGCGGCGAGGAGGTCGAGGGCTGCCCAATTGCTTCGGTCCGCATAGGTGGTGAAGGCACTGCGTACATGGGGAGGTTCGGGAGCATTGGCGCGACTGGACTGGGTTGGGACACTATCGGAGTCATTGTCAACCTGCGCCTTACCCTTTCCCTTTTGGCTACTGTCCTCACTGAGGGGGACTCTGACCTTTGGGACGGGGACATGTTTGACCATGATTCCCTGGTGCGGACGCGGTCAGAGTAGGCAGGTGAGAGGGGGCGATATCGGATGGGACTGGGACATAGGCGAGGAATATCCTGAGACATAAAAGCCGGCGGGGGACGACGGGGGTGAGGTTGGGGCATAGGTGGTGACTGGGGGTAAGATCCCGTCGTCGTTGGAGTAGCGAAAGGATTCTGCAGGGGCGGGGAGGTCGGCATAGTCGTTCTCAGTGTTTACGGAGCGAGGGGAGTCCATTTATCCTTTGAGGTGTCGAGCGAGCTTGTACTGGTCGAGCACCTCTTGAGTGTGCTCTTTTAAGTGTTCTTCGGGTTCCCACGTGTTTGATGAGTGTGGAAACCCTGTCCACTTTACCAGATATTTCCGCTTACC